GCATACAACTCTTGATGAAACCCCTAAAAATAATATACAGTGTCGCCATTAAAGTGCGCACCATATGGGAAACTTTTTTTTCGAAAAGTTTCAATGAAGTTCAACTTCGACACTTGTTTGTGCTTTAAATTTAACTTAGAATGATGCAGCCAACTGCGACCCACTGACGTTCAGTGTGTCAAATTCAACTTTTTTTTGAAAAAAATTGAAAAAGTGCATTTCTAGATCGAATTTAACAAAAAGTTACTTGAAAAAGTTGTGTCTCCGGCAATTTTATATCCATATGCCAAATTTTATGCAACTAGGATAAAGTTAACGTTTTGTTTATTTTTGACAGATATCCCCTTTATTTTAAAAAACGAGTTCGGTTAATTGTCATCAATTCATATATACATAACAAACTCATCATGGAGTTTAACTTTTCTGATAAATTTTTTCTTATACGGACATTTTTAAAGAGAAATTAAAAATGTGCTATAAAAATTTTAACATGACTGGTGCAAAGTTTCAATTACTTGGCTATTTTCTCAAACAAACGCCAGTACCTTAAATTTTGAAACAAGCAGACACAACTCAAAAACTGCAATAAGTATTAATAAAATTACTAAAGTTGAAATTACATTAAAATTTCAATATTCAGTATTTACAAATTATTTATAAACACTAATTCCATGCGAGGTAAGGATGCTTAATCACACGTTGAATGAAATTTTTAAGTTGGTCTTGACAAACAAAATGCATGCTATGGTAGTGTTAAGTTGTTGATTTACTTGTCATATTTTTTACAGTTATTGTTGCAATAATGTTGTCTCTTCAGGAAAGAATAGAATAGAAATAGTTTTAATATGTGGTGAGTAGCTAACATTTTTGATGAACGGCATCCAGGAAAAAATGTTCAACATACTACTGTGTCAAGGATAATGTCGAAATTCAGAGAAACAGGATCCGTAGCAAATCAATTTAAGAAAAAGCACACTTCAAGTAAATATGATGAGGAGGCCCAACTTAACATTTGTTTAAAAGTTATTGAACACGGGCAAACGAGCATAACCGATATTATGAAAAATACCGATTACGAGAGAGAAAGTGTTATAAAAATTTTATTAAAGAATAAATTTTGGCCTTACAAGCCAAAATTTATTAACACATTAAAAGAACGAGATTTTGATGTCCTTTCGGGGTATTCATTCTGGTTTCAAGGAGAGAGAGAAGAAAATGTAAAGTCACCAAAGATATTTCAATGATGAAGAAGTGATGTCGGCAGTTAATGGCTATTTTGAGGAGCAAGATAGTTTTTATCATAAAAACAGTATCGAATTCACTTAACCTCGCTGGGAAAAGGGTATAGACCTGCAAGGAGATTATGTAGAAAAAAAAAAATTTATTTACAAAATTTGTCTTTGTTGGGCCGGATACTTCTGGGCTCACCCTCGTATTTATAAATTGCTTAAAGCTAAATCGATTTCAACCTAGGGTGTTTCAGTACTTTTATATTTACTATATTTTGTATGTATGTTTGTTTTGATAAATATTTTTACCATCAATGAGGATATAATAAATATCAATAATATTAATGTACCTCAATAATTAGTATTTCATTGAATGATAGAGGATTAATCGAGGTTTATTGATTGAAAAATCAAGATAAACTGCTTCTACTCAACACGAGCAAAGTTCTCACATTAAATAAAATTACCGCTATCCCTGAACTTAGAACCTTGCAATCAATGTGAAATAATATTCTCGATAGAAAATCGTCTTTTACTTTTACATTTTACTCCAATTAAAACTGAAGAGTTCAAGGTTGTCCGCTCAATTACGGTACAAATCAAAGTACTCCGAGTCCGAGTGATTCATTTGAAATTCACGAGAAGTATTTATTTCCAGCATGTTCTTGGCACAATTTGTAGTTTTAATTTGGCTGGCGCTAGCACACTTGTTTTCTTGTTTCGTGCCAAATTACCGCTCATCAACGTACGGGGGTCGTATTGAAAATATATCGGCGAATAAAGTTATTAATCGAAAGCTAAAAGTACATTACACACGTGCCACAGTTTCTCTTCGATATGGAAACTGATTATGTATCTGGGTAAAATTATCAAATCAGCTTCGTCCATAACAATTTTGGAACTCTTGATATATCTTTTTTCATTTGGAGTTGAAAATGTTTTTCTCACCATTTTCTATTTGAAGAAAAAAGTAATACAAATCATGAAATTATGAAACAACAAAAATTAATTGGCGCTCCGGGGCGACTTCAGTGATTCCAGTGGCGCATTTGCTTTTTCAGCTGCAGGAAAACCCGGAAAAACCTGCAGCACAACATCATCTGAAGATCTTGATCTGCCAATGTCCTCTCTTGCATAAAACAAAATGTAGGGTGTCCCCAGAGGCTCCAATAAATTCAAGACATCGCCAGAACACTTAGTGACACGACTATCGTCAAACTTAAACCAGTTCGTATCGTCTTTAACCAAGGCGTAATGATGACCAGATCCAACGCCAAAACCACAGTGAACAATGATTATGAAAATTATAATAGTGGTCTGCTAGATTGAAGTGTTCATCTATTCCGAGTTTGATGTTGAGTCATATTTGAAGATCATCCGTGTTATTATTAGATTGACTGATGCCTCAGCTATACTTGTTTTCTTATAATAGTCAGTTAGTTTGGCGTATGTTTGGCAATACAGTTGATCATCACCTGTTAAAAGTTCCATTTTCAGATGATTCAACAATAAGCTTGGCACGAACTGGTTATATTAGGAAACGCTAGTTCAAGTTCCAAAAAAATCACATACGTTTTTGCTACCACTTGAACATTTACTACAAGGTAAACTAGTGAGGATTTTTTCAGCAAACACAAAACGAGATAGACTGTACGGAATCATTCAATCCAGAGCGGTCAGGAGTATTGATTTTGCTATTTTTTTGCTCACGAAGAGTATTCAACAAGAACCCCAAGAATTCAGAACAATCCCCTTGTAGTCCTAACGAGTATCTAGTGGACTTCAAAGGCTCCAGAAAATCGGTTGGTGAGAAAAATGATACATTCTTACGAAACTGCAACTGCATGAACAATTGTTTTTGGTGAATAAGTAGGAAACGTTCTCGTTCATCGTTAAAACCTCGTTCTTGAAATTCTTCGTCATGAACAACACTTGTAAAATGCTACTCATGTAGCAAGTGTTTATTAAATTATCTAATTCAATTTTTTTCGCAAGATTTTCAAGACAACTGTATAATGATTCATAAGGAAGAACATGTTTCACAGAATCTGCATCAGAACCATTTCTCAAGCTGCAGTCGACCCTTCCAAGTGATGAAGTTTCGTAGATGGATCGAGTCGGCTCTTGCTTCATGAAGCTCTTCCACTTAAAAGTAACCAGAACTACGAGGACTGCAACTCATATTTGGGGGGCAATAATGACCTAAGTCCATTTACCGTTCTGAAAAAGAAGAAGGTGAATAAATTGCGAATTAAACATGATAGAAGACTGATGAATATCCACATATCTCGGCTTGTTTCGAAGAGATTTTAGTTCCGCACTGAAATGAGGGCAATGCATGATCTCATCAAACTTATATGAAGGAGGAATAGTTCCAAGGACCGAAGCAGCATTACCACGTTGAATAGCGATACTAATTATTTCTATCAAAACAGAGGTAGAACGGTAATCATTCGTTGCTTGGTATATTCTCTTTCCGAGTTTATGAACGAATAACAGAGACTCTGGGCTATGAACACCAGAAGTTTCAACCGCTACTGGATAGTTATTGCCAAGATTTTGGTATTTTTTCTAATTTTTCGCCAGACAATGATGCAGTTCAACCAGACTTCGAACTTTCGGCTAGATGAGAAGCCGCGACCGTGTCAATGCAAGTCCCATACCACAGGTTTGCCGTATTTCCATATTTTGAGATAAATACCATCTTGCCAGGATTCCTAAGGATTCCAGAATTGCAGGAACATCCGCAAAACCATAGCTCGTTTCAATACGTCTCTGATTTGATTTTTCCTACAGTTCGCACGCAAACCCCTGTTGCCTCGGCTATTCGTTCTTGAATCTCCAGAGTTAAAATACAATATTGGTTACAATTTAACTTATTATTGCTGTCACTTCTTACCTTCGCAATAGGAAGTCATACTCCACCTGCCGTTGCTTCCACTTGCATAAATCTCAATACGTTGTTCACAATTTCTCTGCTTTGTTCACTGAGAACCTTGTTTTTTTTGTTTAGTGTTCAAAAGCATTTTTGAAGACAACAAATATAACTAACAGTTTTCCACACAGAATAATTTCTCCGCTTACTGTACTACTACGATGTACACTACACGAGTTCCTCCATGTTAATGAGCTATCGTCCTACAGCGTCTGAACTTATTTCAAAGCGAAGAATCTAATGTTCAATATTTGAATGAAAATTTTTTCAATCCAAAGAAATTTTATTAAAGCAAACACAAGTAATTCACCACCTTCATACTTGGGAAGTAATTCACTAAGAATAAGGACTAAATCAATTGATTCAAAATGTAAAATTTGTTATGTTCAGGTAATAAAAGTTTTGTCCACCCTGTCTATTGAATTCATTCACTTCATTATTACTTTGAAATAAATATGCTCCTTTCTTGGCATAGGTATTTGCAAGGCTTTTGTTATCTTTCACATATTTGGCACGTTGAAAAAGTACAATACTTCTTAGGGCTTTTCTATTCTCCATACTTCACAAAGAAATGCAAACAACTAAAAAAGAATTATACTTTCACCACGCTTTTACAGAAACGTCTGAAACTGATGGCGATACTTAGATCCGCATTTCGTATATCTGGTGACGTCAGCATCGGATTTACTCAGATAATGTTTTTTCGACAACCCTCTTCAAATTACTTGCCGATTTCATTTATGGAATTGAAAAGATTTAAAAAGAACCTATTATTATTACATTCAATCTCTAAATAATTTAATTTTCAGTTTTTGAATTTGGTTTTTATTTTTCAGGCTTCCATGGATCTACCTCCAGACAAGGCAAAACTACTGAAGAGTTACGATTACGAAAAAAAATGGGATATTATCTGTGATCAGGTAAGAAGCTTTCGTTTATTACAACGAAATTCAAGTCGAGGAAACTTCGATGTTGTAAGTTGATTGTTAAAAGTGGAATGGTTCATAATTTTGACGAGGATGTATTAATATCTGATTAGCTTCGACCGATTACATGGAAAAACAAAGTATTGCGTTTACACGGCATCGAAGAATAACTTACTAGAAAGTGTCCGTGTAAAGTTTCCCGTCAAAAAGTCAAACTGTAGTTGTGCAATACAATTTAACAAAATGTCTTTCGAAATTGGCCATTGAAGATGAATACCAAAGCGAAGGAAATGGCTTTTTTTGAAAAAAAAAGTATTATATTCATCAGTACAATAACAATACATTAGATTTCATCTAATAACTGTGATACCAAGCTGAAAGTTGTTTTTGAAGGATGTAATAATGATGGAACATATGCCTCTGAGAGAAATCGAAGATTTACGTCTAGGTCATATTTATTTCGATTACTTATTTGAAGAATATATAATAATATTCTGCATATTGCGTCTTTTAATTGATTTTAAGTTGAGAAGGTAGTGAAGCGTTATTTTTCTGCCGCTGATAAAAAAAATTATTTAAAACATTAGTACCTAGTTACGGGAAATGCTATTATTACAGAGTATATATGAAATGAATATCAAAAATAATGGAATATAGAAATGTATAAAAGTAAATGCTAAAACAAACTGTATATGAAATATTCCTATACGTAGAATTTCAAAAGAGGAATGAAAAATTGAGTATATAACATAAAAAATTACAAATCATGCAGTGTAGCAGTACTGACACAAATGTTATTTATAGTATTATTAAAAGTGATTGTGGATACATGATACCAAGGCGTTCAGAGTCGAAATGCATATCGCAATGTTCACAAATTTTATTGAAGCTACTGCACATAAAATTCAATGGTGATCGTAGCATAACATTTGTGCGTGATGATTCGCAATAGAATTTCAGATTGTGTCGACCTTCACTTCTTGTTACTAAGAAATTGTTTAGTAATTTATGCAGGAATTTCATACCAAGGATAACTCTCCTATTTTCCAAAGATATCATATCAAATCGTGTCAACAAAATGTTATGATCGGTGCCTCTCGTGGGGTATTGTCCATCAACTTTTAGACATAAGTATTTCAGGAACTTCCTTTGCACGCTCCCAATTGATGTTTTTTGATAGTCGTAAACTGGATTCCATAACACATTTTGAAGTTTTTGCCATTTCTGTATATCATATTCCTTATATGTGTTGTAAATGTTAATTTACTTTCGTATGTTATACCAAGATCTTTTATCTCATGTACGCGGGTGATTGTAGTATTGTTGATTGAATAATCGTGCATTAAGGTTCGCTTTTTTGTTGTAAATGATATTATTTTACATTTGGATACGTTCAGTTGTAGACGATTATTATTACACCAAAGTTTGATTAGGTACATCTAATTCATGTTGTACACGTTAGCAGTCTATAATGTCGTCGATTTTATAATATAGTTTCAGGTCGTGTGCAAATAATAGGATAGGAATATTCAAAGAGGTCCAAGATTAGAACCTTGTGGTACCCCAGATGTTGAAAGTAAAATCTTTTAATATGTTGCTGCGCCCTCTGTCGAAGCTAGTGTATACTGTTTTCAGTGGTTCTCCAAGGCCTAAGTAATTTCGTGTTTTAAAATATGAAGGAAAAATTCTTGCTTCATTTTTTAGGGTTGCTTAAGAGTAACCATTATTGATTTTCTGGGCGAGTAAAGGCGATGCAGATTTGCTGCTATAAATTCCTCTAATCAAGATAAGAGAACGTTGAATTCTAAAACATTTGTACTTTCAAACTGTTTGCTTCTATAGTTGGCTAAGAATTTTTCATTACGTTCTTGTATATCATAAGAAAACGTACATGCGTATTTGTATCCATCGCTGGCTGATCTGTTTAAAAAATCTGTTTTTCCGTTAACCAGCTGTCGCAACTTATGCGAGCTGAGGATTAACGAGGTCTTACCTTTTAACGTGTGATTGATCATTGTTTAATATCAAATTTCACTCTTTCCATAAGTTATCGCAGCGCCAAAGTTTATTGCTTTCAAATTTGTGCACGATTTATGTGCGTATCACTTTTAAAATTGTTCTCTTCCTGTTTACTCGAACTGTTATTCTATGCATTCATTATAGGTAGATGCAACTGCAATACAACCTCCATATTCAGTAATATGCAATCATCTACAGTCCCCATTTTCTCTTACGTAATTCTCCAATTAAACTTTGATCAAATCGATCAGGGTCGTGACTTACGGTATAGAGCATTAGGGTCATCATTTTTTAAATTGCAGGAATGAAAATCGTTGTTTATATGAATTATAAATTGTTTATAGAAACATGGTGAATGGTACGAAAGTGAAAATTACATTTATAAACTTTTTACGATTTTAAATGGGTTCTTTTCAAATTTCAAGCGTGTTCCACTCATATGAGAGTTTTTCAAAAGTTTTGTTAATGTTGATGTTATGTGTTTTTGTATCTCCATATATCAATAAATATTAATTATCAGATCACTAAGCTTAAGGACTAAGTGTGGAATGGAAAAAAGTACCAGCGTGGTCCAAACAGAACTGGATGGTATCTCAATCGCCACAAAAGAAATAACCAGGAAAGGAATTTCTGGCAAAAACATAACAACCTGCACTGACAGCATACAAGCCCTATTAGCCTTGAACAGACAACGTGTTATATCAGGACTAGTACTAGAGTACTAGCCCTGATATTCTGTCAGATTGTAATAGGCTTTAGATGCCAGTCTTTCATGTAACTCGTTCCTTAAAGTTTCGAAAGAATCTATGTTCTTTATATATTCAGGAAGTTTATTTACAATTTGACACCGATGTTAATTATTGAGTCTTTGATCGGCGTGGACTTAGGGATGATTGTTGATAAATTAATTGCATTTCGTGCAGTGCGATTGTTATTTTCATATAAGATTTATTATTGTAAATGAGACATGTAGCTTCTAAAAAGTAGTTGAGGTTAGTGTCAGTATTCCGTGTTTCAGGAAGAGGTTGGCAGGAACTCAACCTATTTACTTGGCAGAAATACCGCACCGCTCGCTTTTGCACTCTCAAAGATTTTATTACTACACGAACCCCAGAACTGGATTGCGTACTCAAGTTTGACTCAATGAGAGCAAAATAGAAATGTTTTGCCGCAGCATAACCTAACTGTAGCTGTAGACAGACCAGAGGGAATTTCAAATTGGTATTCCCAAGAATTTTATATTGTTGTCAGATGATTTAGAGTCAGCACATAATTCTATATCCGGAAGAAGACATTTAAATGAGAGAATTTTTGTTTTATTGAAATTTAAACGTAGAAAATTTGCATCGCATCACGACTTGATTTTTTTGTATGTCTATTGTAAAATTTTGTCGAAGTAAATTCACATCTTCAAAGTGCCATAGAATGGTAGTGTCGTCGTCAAATGAAGTTAAGAAACCAGATATATCTAAGAGGGAAAGTTCATTTATATACAGGAGAAATAGATATGGACCTAAAACTGATCCTTGGGGTACTCCTCAACTAACTTTTAGTAATCCGGGGTCATGTCTCTTATACCACAGTCAGAGAGTTTCTGCAGTAATAATGTGTGACACTATCAGAAGCTTTAGTCATAGTTTAAACCCATCATTAATCAGCATTGAAAGTACGTACTATCAAAGCCGAAAGCGGAAGATTTTTACTCATCATAACCCACAGCATTTTCATTTTTAATCGTTTGAAGACTTCAGTTAATTCTGATGAAGTGGTGTCATGACATATACAGGACGAGACAATGTTATTTTCTCTAAGATATAAAAGAGGATTTTGGTCAGTGTTTAGGTTTTGTGTTAAAGACTGCGCAATGTTGCAATAAAATTAATCAAACTGATCGGAATCTACGGACCAATTTGGTTTCTTGTGAGATTTTCCTCTTAGTTCATACTCCAAGTTTCTTTTGTTGTGTTCTTCGCATTTTCCAGCCCTTTGCTTTCTTAATAACCGCTCTATAAACCTTTCTATATTTATTATAATACTTTCTAATGTATTGTTTTACACGAATTTCTTATTCCCTTCGTTATCCATTGCTTCTTAGATAGATAGAAACTGATCTATAGAGAATTTTGTATTCTATACAATAATCATGTTCACTTTTTCCAAATTTAAATTTTTTACCTCTTTTTAGCTCGAATTTCGACTAATTTTTCTTTACGAATTCAAATTGAACCATATTCTATGAAATCACTATCAACTATTGCAGAAATCACAATTACGTCAGGTATCTTCACTCGCTTATAATCGACTGAACAAAACTATTCAGATAATAATAAAGGAACCCAAACGAATAATGTAATTCCTGGAAGTACGCCAATGACCGGCTAAAACTCGGTAGGCTATTATTCTAACAATAACAGGTAAATACGTTTTGTGATAATCTGAGTGATGTGCAAAATTGTATATCTGAATAGTTGAAATAATGCAAATTAAGCTGAAATAATGCCGTGTTACGATGAGCAAATGTACCATAAATATGCCCATAAAATTAGTTTGTTTTCTGAGAATATACCTTTTCTACGTTATTCTTGAAATATACTATACTTTCTTCGATCAAAAGAATACGCCTCTGAATTGTTTGTTTGGGAAACATTCTTCATTCTATTTCTTTTGAACTTGTGAAATCTTCAAATTAGTAAATTCATTGAAAGGGTTATATTTTTAGAAGTGACTAAATTATTGGGAAAAAAGTTTTTGGCTTTCTGCTTGCCCTAAGGCAAGTGTCTTACGGCGAAACATCGATGTCTACCACTGAGGATGACAGTGTTCCATGTAAGTGAAATTTTTACCTTTCATTTAGTATACTGTGTAGAAATCCTGTGATTGATATCTGATTTAATTCCATAACGAGTGTTTGGAATACAAACTGTGTAGAGAAAAGTTTTTTTTGTATAATTCAGTGTTCATATAAAAGTATTTGT